GCTGTCACACGGCTGTTGTTGGCACGCGGGCTCGATCCAAGCTAGTGTGGGTACCTCTGCCAGACTGGGATGTGCACCTCCCAGCTGCAGGAGTGAGAGATGGGGTGTGATCCGGGCTTACTGTCTTCCAAGTTGGCCAGGAAAGGCAATTTCTTCCACTTTGCCATGTCTATGAACTAGAGCCGAGCGACACATTGACTGACCATTAGGGCCGGTTGGACGGGGAGGTGAATGGTTTGTTGATTGACAAGCGTAGGTAGGAATTCCAGGTAACTTACTGGACATATTGTAGTCACTCGCCTGCAGGGCTGGCGGAGAAATACACCCAGTGTGTTCACAGGTACTTGGTTTAAAGCCATGCAGGGGAGTTGATGGGGTGAACACTGAATACAGCCAGTGGTTTTCAAACGACCCAGTCCTGGGGGGTGGAATGTGGGGCACTGGGTCTGGTGGCTGGAGGGGGATCGGGTGACCAGTGGGGGTGCTAAGGCAGCCCCTGCCTGTGCAGTGCAGAAGCAGCCGGCAACAGGCCCAGCTCCCAGGAGTTGGGTGGGGAGGGAGAGTGCACAGGGCTCCGGGCACTGCCCCTGTGCCGAGCACTGCCATATTCTCATTGGCTGGGAGCCTGGTCTGTGGTACCAAGAGAGGCAGGAAGCTGCCTTAGCCCCCCCGGCACTGCTGAATGGGAGCTGCTCAAAGTAAGCATCAACAGCTTTTCTTCAACTGGGTCGAGAGGGGAAAAAAAGGTTGAACCCTCCTGTACTAAACTGAGCGTCTTGTTCTCTTTCAGCAAAGGGGAGCTAGAAGAGCCCAACATTAAGCAATTCCTCCTGTTGTGCAAAGCGCCAGGCTGGCTTCGAAGCCTCGTGTCCTGGGTTGCCAAACCAATAGTAAGGCTCCTTCATGTCTCACCTCCTCGGCATTTATTGAACAACCAGGGAGCCTGATTCTCGAGCGGCGCTGAGCCCCGTTTGCGCCCCTCGGCCGGCGTGAAGAGAGCTGAAAGCCGTTGAGCTGCCAGCGTGGTGTGAGCCGGAACTTGGCCTTGAGGAGTTTAGCAGAGTCGGCGGTGGGGGAAGGGAGGGACCTCTGACAGCCCAGGGGCAAGATGAACCCCCTGCACATGCTGCTTTCTATTTGCAGAAAAAGCACTCAGTGATTTGGGGGCGCGCCTAAGAGACCTGGGTTCGATTCTGAGGGGTGGGGCTCCGTTCCCAGCGATACAGGGGCGACGGCATCCCCTGCCTGAAAACTAAACTAGGAAAACTAAACTAAATAGTTCAAATAATGCTCAAAAATAATTAAAAAGTGAAGACGCGTTGTAGGTCAAGCAGCCGCTGCAGACTGACTTTGTACGTTTCCTGTTTTGGGATGATGTGTGGAGTCTGCGTCGTGCACCGTCATAAATGCAAACTGTGCACGTAAATTGAGGGGTTTTAGGAGCTCTCTCACATGAAAAGAATGGTTGTAAATGCAGGGAGTTGTAAGTCGGGCGGTTGTAAGTCGGGGGTCGCCTGTATATTTAAACTCGAGCTGGAAATCACACGGGGGAGGAGCAGACAAGTAAGAGAGATGCATTTTCCTCTTGAATCATCCCTTTTCTGTCTACTGCTGCCCAAAGGCCTCTCTCTTTAGGCACCGCCTCAGCTGACGTGGGTTCCCTACCCGCCCAAACCACTCCCCGCTCTCTCACTGTGTCTAGGCACCCCCTCAGACATGCTCTACATGGGCCTGGCAGACAGGGCGAGAGCTGTGAAGGGGTCGTGTCCCCGTTTTGACCAGTCTGAAGGCACACCTCCAAGAAGGGACTCCAAGAGTCCATGTCTGTAGGCCCCCGTCTCTAAGCACGCCCGTACGGTATTTCCCAGAGGTGGGAATGGAGCCCAGCAGTCCTGACGCGCAGCCCCTGCTCCAACCTCTGACAGGCACGCTGCAGCTTTACTGGTCCAAACTGACGTTTGTTGCAGCCAGAGTCATCAACAATTCCATACATACAAGATGGGAAGCGACTTAGTAAGGGTACAGGCGACCCCCGCACTTACAACCTAATTGGTTCCTGGAGAACCCTCATATGTTGAACCCTTACTTTCTGTGGGTCAGTGGCCCAAAAAAGGTTCTCCGCCCCTGCGTGTACATCTTCACTCAGCTCATTTGAAGAGGTGACTCCGATACAAGGCTCATCTTTGTCGTGAGATTATTATTGTTCATCTGGATTCAGCAGTGCCCACAATATGCCTGGGCGTTTGCCACAGGCACCATTTCAGAGCTGGGCATGTCAGCAGACCCACAGTCTACACGGCGGGAGGAGGAAAGAAACAGCCACAATCTGCAGATGGCAGGTTGTCTGGAGAGCCTTGTCTGGGTTCTAGCTGAGCTGTGCCCAGAGCCGAGATGGCATTTCAGACAGTCTCTGGATGGGAACCCCCTTCTCGCGCTGTAAAAAGCCCGGCTCCCTCCGGTTCACATTGCAGCAGGGAGATGCTGAAAGTAGCAGCGCGGCCGTGGTGGCTCAGGCAGGAGCTTGGAATCGGTAGGGGGCTGCTGTCACACGGCTGTTGTTGGCACGCTGGCTCGATCCAAGCTAGTGTGGGTACCTCTGCCAGACTGGGATGTGCACCTCCCAGCTGCAGGAGTGAGAGATGGGGTGTGATCCGGGCTTACTGTCTTCCAAGTTGGCCAGGAAAGGCAATTTCTTCCACTTTGCCATGTCTATGAACTAGAGCCGAGCGACACATTGACTGACCATTAGGGCCGGTTGGACGGGGAGGTGAATGGTTTGTTGATTGACAAGCGTAGGTAGGAATTCCAGGTAACTTACTGGACATATTGTAGTCACTCGCCTGCAGGGCTGGCGGAGAAATACACCCAGTGTGTTCACAGGTACTTGGTTTAAAAGTCTCAGAGCGGTGGCCGTGTTAGTCTATAACTTTTAAAACAACAAGAAGTCCTGTGGCACTTAGGGTATGTCTACACTACCCCGCTAGTTCGAACTAGCGGGGTAATGTAGGCATACTGCACTTGCAAATGAAGCCCGGGATTTGAATTTCCCGGGCTTCATTTGCATAAGCCGGCCGGCGCCATTTTTAAATGCCGGCTTGTTCGAACC